CAGAACTCTTTTGGGAACCTGGTTCTCTGTTTGGAAAAAACAGATCGAATTCCACTCTTCCTTTGTATTTCTACAACACCTTGTTCCCAACGCAGCGCACATTGCCACAAACAGCATCGAGTTACAGTCTGAGGCACATACTAATTTGTACAAGGGAGTGGAACCTACCAAGAGAGAGCATTGTATTAAAACGCTGGGGGAAGGTAGCTCAAAATCCAACGGGCATTAGTTTCACAATAATATCAAAGCAGTAGAGCAATGTTTCGTGGTTTTGCGGGATAATTTGAGGACAGATACCATCAGTATTTATTTACGCCCTAGGTTCAGGGTGTTCCAACCTTTCGGCTGCCATGGCCACGTCCGGCCTGAGACCATTTCCAACATTCCAACCCTCTCCCTCCCTCCCTCTCTGGTGGACGTCCTCCCAGGGCAGCGGCAGGAGCCAGCGATTGGGAGGACACAGCGCAATCGCAGAGGCTTTTACTGCGGTCTGTCAGGAAGGCAAGCGCATCTCTTACCAACCGTGTCCTTAGCAACCAATCTGCCGGCTCCTGCCGCTGCAGATAATGACCCGCGCTTGCGAGAAGGGTTGGGAGAGAGAGCGGGGCAGAGAGAGAGGCGGGGGAGAGAGAGAGAGGCGGGGTGAGAGAGAGAGAGAGAGAGAGAGATGGGGGGGTTGGGTTGAATCAATCAATAGGAAACTGGGATGTTGGTCTGCCTTAGAAGAACATCTGGAATATAAAAGAAGGTAATTCTCCAGTTATATAATAATAATAACAATAATACTTTCATTCGATACAGTGCCTTTTCACATTGTCCTCGAGACGTGTCTAAGTGCTTCACAAGCCGCAAAGTGACTGATTGTGTATTTTACAGGTGAAACGCGGCAGCCCGTTGCACACGGCAGTGTCCCACAAACAGTCACGGAGGGAGCGACCAAATTTATTTTGGAGGAATGTTGGCCAGGACGTCGGGAGAAGCTCCCTTCTCTTTTCGAATAGTGTCGTGGGATCTGCAACATCCACTTGAACAGGCAGATGGGACCTCGGTTTAACGTCTCAAGCAAAGGACGGCACCTCCGACAATGAAACACACCCCCCAGCATTGCATTGAAGTGTCAGCTTAAACTATGTGATTCCAAGTCCTGACCTACAACCTCCTGACTCAAAGAGGCAAGAGTGCAACCACTACAACAGGCTGACACACAAACCGACTAACAACCGATTGATTAACAACCGGGTCCCTACTTACTGGTGGTAGACAGGCATCTGGAGTAAGGAAACGTGCCTTAGGTTTTGCCTCGCCCGGGAATCGAACCCGGGCTCTCTTGCTTGTGAGACGAGCACGCTAACCACTGTGCAACGGGACTCTGATATATGGACGTTGGCCAGATCTCATCGGAGTACTGTGTTCAGTTTTGGGCACTCAATCTTAGAAAGGATATACAGTACTAGCCTTCAAAGGACTCCGGCAATGATTTATTAGATCAACACCTGGGCAAAGGGCTGAGCTATGATGAGAGGCCGGGCAGACTGGGTTTATAGTCCTCAGAACAGAAGGTTAAAGAAGTGATTTGATTGAGGTATTGAAAATAACAACAGCTTAGACAGTAAACAAGTCTGTGGGAGAGTCTGAGGGGGAGGGGGACTGAATGTGCGTGTGAGAGCCCGGATGGGAGGCTAAATATCTGAGAACTGGGGTGGCGGGGTAGGGGGGTAGTTGCGGGTGTGGCTGAGTCTGTATGAGAGCTGGAGGGGGAGAGAGAGGGGATGAGTCTGGGGGAGTGGAAGCTGAGTTGTATGAGGGTCGAATGAGGGGGGGGGGGGGCTGAGTGTGTGTGTGGGAGCAGGGGGAGTCCGTGTCGAGTCTGGGTTCTGTCTCTGGCCACTGTAAGCGTCCCTCACTGTGAGTCCTGTAATTAGATTGTGACTGTACAGTCACAGACCGATGCACGTGAGCAGCGTGGCTGTGAGTGCAATGCCCGGGGTCAAAGACCAAATGACAGGCTGCCGGGTTGAGGCATATTGAGAAGCAGTTCGGCTCTCTATCCTGAACATGAGCCATGTGTACTAGCTGGGCTTTGACTAATGGGAACCTCAAGTTTATCTTCATCCAACACTCACATTCGCAATCTCTATCAGGACTCACAAGGCCACGGGATTAGTTCAGAAGAAGTCAGACCATTTGATTTAATCCTTTCGGAAAACCCACCCAACCGTCTTCCCATCACAGCATCAAGTCTATTTTTTTTTAAAATGAGTCCAGTGTCCTTCTCTCAATCATCCTTCCAGGCAACCTGTACCAGTTGTTAATTAACCTCTGGATAAGGAAATGCTCCCTGGTGACTGTCCTCGGTGGAAATCTACACAAGATTCTCTTTCTGGCCAGCGCTGCTTTACAATATTCACCAAAAACGGCAAAATAATCATAGAAATAGCCAAATAGCATAGATTTATGCCGTAAATCAAGATATATTGCATCAAAAAAACATTTATTTTGTAAGGCAACCAAAAAGATTGGCCACTGCTGCTCCAAAGTATTATTCTGGGTTTACTTTTGCAATCCCATTTAAAATGTTATATACCTGAATAAGGTCCCCACTGAAACTTCTCCTACTACGACTGGAAGGCCGTCACTTGAATAATCAATTCTCTTTACGGTATATTCTGCGAAGCGCTTTGAGACGTCTAGAAGATATGATAAGGCGCTACATCAAATGCAAGGATTACTATTATTATTATTAGCATTGCTCATAGCTCATTCCTCTGACTTGTTGCTCTCTTCTGGACTACATCTGGGATCTGGGCAGTTCTGGTGACGAGAACTACGTGCAGTACTCTAGATTTGGCCAGTCCAGAGCACTATATTGGTCGCTAAGCAGCGATCAGATGCAAGCTAACTAGCAAATCTTTCTTGATGCAGCCCAAGGACACTGAGGCCAGGGTGACAAATAAAGCAGCGTGGGTGAGCAAAGATTTTTTGGTCCGTGCATTAACTTGTTCAGACGAACACTGACCATATTATTTCCCAGTAACCCACCGTACATCACTTCTTCGAATGAGCTGTAATTACAATCATTGATCCTTCAGTATGGGCAAGGTCACATCCAGTCTGGCTTCACTGGCTCGATTTCAAGACTTAAAAAAAAAGAGCGAACCCACAAAGCTACCTCACTCGCTTGGTGTCTGACCCTTCATTGCTAAGCGCTGCAAGAACTCATCCTAGGTGAAGGGCTCTCTACCAATGCAAGTTGTTTTTATTACCTTATTAATTCACAATTCATGTGCTTGCCATAATAAACGAGGTGAATTGGAAGGGCACCTCATCCTGACCGCTTACACCCTTTTTGTGTTTCCGTTTTCCGAATCAGACAACCTCCGCAGTTACAGGTTCCCCACACATAGTTCCAGATGTATCTTTTATTTCACCTCTAGGTTTCTATTTTTGCGCAGTACAAATACTTGGGATTGTTTGCACTGTTCTGGGACCGATAAACTCTGCCTCTCTCTCTCTCTCTCTCTCCCTCTCCCTCAGAGAGATCCGCAAATCCCCAAAGGATCGCGGTGGGACATATGAGCCTGCGACTCTTAGGAGTTTTGATTTGTTCCTTTCAAAAACATGAGCAATTAGCTCATTGGCAAAATTCATGAACCAAGCAAGAAAACCTCTTATGCTTCAGTCTCATCGTTCTGCCTCACTTGACAGAGATCATGTCTCTTTCATTCGGGAAGGCTGAGCTCCAAGTTTAGTACAGCATTAGCAGCTCTGGAACACTCTCGCTTTTTCATTCATTGTGAATTGGCAGCAGAATCACAGCAGGTGGGCACACTATGAATGGAGGTCATTCCCTCCGAACAGATTTTTAAATGTTAACTAACCCGTCTCCTCCTCTCTCTCTCTCTCTCTCTCTCTCGAGGAAGCAAAGCAAAGGCATTGCACCCCAGGTCAGAGCCAAAAAGGAACACGTGCTCCAAATCGTTGTGTGCAATTGGCTGCCACGTTTCACCCCCCCGCAAAATATACAGTCAAATCACTTTGCAGTATATTCTGTGAAGCGCTCAGAGGCGTCTAGAAGGCGTGAAAAGGCCCTATATCAAATGCAAGGATTTTTTTTTAAGGAGATTATTACCCCAGGAAAAGTGCTCAACCAATCGACGACTAGCCAGGTTCCTCCTTACTGCTCGGTAAACAGAGGTGTGTGGAGGAAGGAAACTTGCCCAGTGTTTCGCCCTGCCCGGGAATCGAATCCAGGTCTCTCGCTTGCGAGGCGAGAGCTCCAGGAGGTTTTCAAAGCAATTCGTTGTTATTTAAAAAATTGCATAATTTTAAACACTGCGGTTTCGAATTGTATATTTCAACTACTTTGATATGCCGCACCTTTAAACCACCATATCTAAGTGTGTGTATCAGCCACCATGTGTACACAGGCACCGCAAGCCTCTGTAATTGTGGCATCAATAACCAATGAAAATGATTAACTAATTATACTTTGTGGGTGAGTGGCCTATTGCTGGAGGTGCCGTCTTTCAGATGAGACATTAAACTGACCTGCCCCGAAATTAATTTTTGGAATCCCTGGACACCTTTTTAGAAATCAAAGAGAGTTTCTATCAACGTGCTGGTCGACAATCCTCCAGATTATTTAATCATTCACCTCATGGCTGTTTTATGGGACTTGTTTATTTGTTGTCACTTTACATATGTAAGAACCTGTTTAAAGCGCAATACAGTCATCCGTTTGTTCTGGGTGGGCTGTTTCTACCCATTTTCTTAGCAAGCTTACACGCTGATTCTGGATGCACTGGGATCCAATTTGAGGTGATTTGGCATAATTCTATTACAGCAATTTTCCTGTTGCAGGGAAAAAAATCGCTTTTAAGAATCAGGGAAGCATAGAATGCTCGCAATACTGATTCCTGCTTAAGGAATACCATTTAATTAAATACTGCAAATTAGACCCAAGCACTGTCTATTTCGAAGCTATAAAGCAACTTATTAACCTAATTTATCAAAGGGTGTGCATTTGTTTCAAATTTAAATTATATAGAACTGGGATAAAGTGTGCCTTGTAATCTACCAACACAACCGGTGAATTCCATGCTCTGGGACTGCCTGGGTTTCAAGGTTGTACCTCGTGCGTTCAGATGTCCAGACTAAAACAAAAACAGACCAAGATCATAGTCATTTCAGGAATTGTTTTGTTATTGCAATACAATTGGGACACGGGGATCTATTCTGCACCTTGTGTGAATCAATGCATTGTGTTAGGTGCCAGGTGCAAACAGCAACAACAACTTGCATTTACACAGTGCCCCTCACGCGGGGCAGCATGCCATAGCGCTTGGGCAAATGTGTGTGTCGGGACGGAAGTGCAGATGCCATTCATTATGTCATTTACAACCAGTCCTTTTCACTGGAGTGTCAATCTAGACTGTATTATGCTGGGTTTACATTGTGGGTCTGCCAGTAATTGCACTCCTGCCATTGCAGGTCAACCATCAGTAAAACCCTGGAGCCCGACTTGTTTTTAGATGCAAGTTAAGTGAATGCAGTCCCTGGACACCTCCTCCTCCTCCTCCTTCACTAGGAACTGTCAGTGGTACTGGCGACCAGCAGTGCTGTATTGTTTGTATCGCACGTTTATGGAAAGTTTCACGTTGGTGTCCTCGACTGATCGCTACCTACGTACCTACTGCCAGGTCAGGTCAGGAGCAAAATCTTCTGTTTCGTGTGGCTCAGCCCACAGCCTTTATTACTATTTTTCCGGTAGCCATTGTGTGATTCCGGGAGCTCTGTGTAAGATTGAGAGAGGCGCAGAAGAGAAATAAATCAACAAGAACGAAGCAGTAAAAATTATTAACACCAAAAAGTTTACTTGCAAACACTAATTGTACATCACAGTCACAATCTGCCATTGGACAGTTTAATAGCTCTGTTGCGTTTGCACTGATGAAATGTTAATCAGGTCCATGGCGAGGATTATTTACATCTATTCATCCTTTGTTTAAGGTGGACAGATAAAACTTTCAACCAAAAGTGCTGTCAGCGTTTTCTCTGTGATGTCCAATATATTTTACACCGGTATAGACCTTGTGTAATCCTATAATCCATAAATCTTTATGGTATATGTACAGTATGTAGACGACACATAATCCCTAGCCTATAAAATGACTCTTGCTAGAGCCGAACAGATCTATAGCTCTGGTTACACTGGCGTAGAAGGCACATGGGATTATTTTTGCTCCTCTTTTTTACGGGCAATCAACATGGGGCTCACATCAGTAAAGTTATACTTGTAAACTAAAGGGAGAATATCAGCAGTGGAATAAACCCTCCGTCTTACACAGCACTATAGTCAGCACCGCAGGAAAACAAAGTAGTATTTTTATTCTAGTCCGTAACAGAGCCTTGGGATGTCCTCCCGACGTGAAAGGCGCTCTACAAATGTAATCTTGTTGTTGGTGTAACAACCAGATGGTTGGTATAGTAACTGCAGGAGCCCACTGAAGGGTGAAACTCCAACTACCTTCACAGTATAATCTGTGAAGCGCTTTGAGAGGTCTAGAAGATGTGAAAAGCACTGTATCAAATGCAAGGATTATGATTATTATTTATTATTACCTTGAACAACAAGGTCAACCTACCCCAACCCCTTGATTTGTATAATAATAGTCCAAGCGCAGCAGCTCCCAGCTCAGTGGCCATCAGTTTTATCCGACTACAATAAACAGGAACAAGATTAGGCCATTTCAACCCATTGATAAGGTACGGTGATTCCCAAAAATTAGCACTTACCACTGCCCACCCCCCCACCACCCCCCCCCACCCATCCAACAATCCTCGGATATCACTCATTAGTAGAAAATCCCAAACCCAAACTTTTTATTCACCCTGAAGAAGAGTCCTTGCATTTGATATTGTACCTTTCATATTGGGAGGATGTCTCAAAACACTTCACAGGGTACTTTGTAGGCAAATAATAATGCTTATGCGTGAGATTGTGTCCGAAGAGCTTCCTCAGAGATCTTTTCTCTCTCTGTAGATGCTGCCTGATCCGCTGAGTGCTCCCAACGACTTCTCTCTTTATTTCAGACTTCCAGCAACTGCACTTTTTATTGCCTTTTGTTTCCTTTCCCATCTGTGTCCATCCGACACATTGCTTTCGGCGATTCTCTTCCACCTCATCACAGTCACCTTGACTCCTCTTCCATCTCAGTTCTCGTCTCCTCCAGTCTGAAGGCTTTTTTCTTCCTCACCGGTGCTGGATTTTCTTCCGCTAGTTTGCTCCTGCTATTAATTCGATGTTTAAACAAAATTATTTAGATTTTTTTTATAAATTGCTTGTCTTGCTCGTAATACTTATCCCAACTTTGCTGCCAGTTATTACAGGTCAAATTTTTTTTGATGTGAAGACGGTACCTAAATTCCCAAAAGCAGAACATGACACTTATTAGTTTGAACTGCGCTCCTATTTTGGATAACGTGTCTTTTCAAGCACGATGCCTTTTACAGGAACTAAAGAACATGGCCTTTAACAATTAATATGTTAACTCAAAGTCTCCAGCTACATCAAGGTCTCTATTACAGATGGAGGTATAACAGTCTGACACAGTCGTAAATCAAAATGAGTTTGCTAACGGACAGAGCGATCAAATAACAAAGCTAGAAACAAATACTTGTTGATGCCTCTTTGATATGTGGACACTTTACTGACCCCCAACCGTTGTATGTTCATCAATATCCTGATAGTTCGTTAAAATGCGAGATTTCAATCTAACTTCCATCTAATGATAAGGATTGATGCCAGATTATACAAGCATTACATTTTATTTAAACCTTCCTGTCAATGCTTCATTGCAAATGAGACATACATCCCAAATCTCAGATGTTCAAGGTATTAAACAGTGAGATCGCTTATCAGCAAATCCCACACTATCTTGTTACAGAAACTAGGATTTATGATTAACCCTTTGCACTCATTATTACTTTGTATTTGGGACACTTTACTCAGATTTATGTTATCCATAACTTCCAGCGTTTTAAAGACCCGGATTATGATATCCTCAATATAATTTTGTCCGAAGCAAACACATGGAGTGAATTCACTGAAATCTTAACTATCTGCCTTACTGATTCACCTTCTACCACGACTCAGTTCCTGTCTTCTGTTCACCTCCCCATCTCTCTTCCTAACCATTTACTGCCTTCCTCCTGGCACTTCCCCATCTCTCTTCCTACCCATTTGTTTCTTCCTCTCCTGTCTGCTAGTAACTGACCTACCAGTTCCTGCTCAAAAGGTTGACCAATGCACCCTTGTGTATAATCAGAAGTAGAAACTGAAGACATCTCCAAAAGTGGAGACACCACAATCTTCCGCTTTGTTGACTAAGTGTGTTATACCGAATGAAGCACAAGACAAAACTAGAACTAATTCCATGACACTGATAAATTGTCAATTTCTAGATATTTGTAATATAGGCAAAACTAAGTATATTATAAAAAATGCAAAATTACCAGTTGAAAATGTCATAAGTGACAATATATATGATTACCTAGTCACTACACAGACACTTTGTGAGGTGCTTCGAGACATTTTCGGCACTGTATAAAATCCATGCGTTATTATTATTATTATTCATGTATTATTATCACTCATGTATTATTATTATTAAGATCTGGTGCAAATAAAACATACTTTATCTTTACACTGAAACTGTCAGAGACAGTCAATAGGACAGCTCTACATTATAACCAATTCTTTCAAGGGTTTACACCTAATTTTTCTCCTCTTCAGGATCAATCTGTAGATAATGGATAATGATCCCTCATGAATGGAGTTAATAAGCCTCCAAATTTCAGTTATTCAGCAGTGGTCACATCCATTATGGCAACTTATTATGGCTTGAGCTGTAATGACAAACAGAACCTACTCATAAGAGGGAAATATCATCATTTGAATTATATGCATCAAAATACAGTATCAGCGACACTGAATGACAGCAGTCTATTCGGTATCCAGGAAATCACCAAACCGCACAGTTTATAATTGGTCAGTGTGGTGCTTTTTAACAACAACAAGATTACATTTGTATCGTGTCTTTCACGTCAGGAGGACGTCCCAAGGCGCTGGACAGAGTACAGCATTTCAGACCCAAGCTGGGGTCAGGGGGGGAGAAGGGAGGGGAGGGGAAGGGGGTTGACCGATGGTATGGGCGAAGAGGAGGGTTTTAAGGCAGGACTTGAAGGAGGCTAAGGAGGGGGTGAGGCGGAGTGATTGGGGGATGGAGTTCCAGAGGTTGGGGTAAGAGTGGCTGAAGGCTCTCCCGCCAATGGTGGGGCGGGTGGGTCGGGGGACGTGGAGCAGGTCAGAGCCGGCTGAGCGGAGGGAGCGGGCGAGTTGGTAGGGGGTTAGGAGGTCACAGAGGTAGGGTGGGGCGAGGCCATGGAGGGCTTTGTAGGTGAGGACCAGGATCTTGAACTGGATCCTCTGAAGGATAGGGAGCCAGTGGAGTCGGGCGAGAGTGGGAGAGATGGGATCACGGAGTTTGGTGCGGGAGAGGACACGGGCTGCAGAGCTCTGGATTATCTGCAGCCTGTGGAGGGAGGAGTTGGGAAGGCTGACAAGCAGGGGAATGGCGAGAGAGAAAGCAGCGGAGCTGGGACGCGACAACTCGTTCCAGGACCTTGGAGAGGAATGGGAGGTTAGAGATGGGCCGGTAGCTGGAGAGTAGGCATGGGTCCAAGGAAGGTTTTTCAGGATGGGGGTGATGACCGCTGTTTTTAAGGGGATGGGAACTGAACCAGTTGACAAGAGAGGTTGATGATGTCAGACAGGAGAGAGGCCAGAAGGTGGAGATGGGAGATGAGGAGAGAGGTGGGGATGGGATCGAGGGAGCAGGTGGTGGACTTGAGTTTGCGGACAGTCGTGGTGAGGGAGGAGGGTGAGATAGGGTCGAAGGAGTATAGGGGGGGATGGGTAGGGGGTTGGGTCATGAGGGAGAGGTGATGTGGGGGTGGCTGTGGACGGGGCTGAACGTATCCCCTCGATTTTAGAAAGTCCAGCATCTCCTCACAGTTGGAGTTTGAGGAGAGGATGAGCGAGGGATGGGAAGATGGACGGAGGAGATGGTTTGTGGTGGAAAAGAGAAGCCGGGGGTTGTCCTTTGCCTCTAAGATAACCTTGGAGTAGAAGGAGGATTTGGCGGAGGCGAGAGTGCAGTGGTAGATCTTGGTGTGGTGAAGCCAGATTTGCCGATGGACCGTTAGTTTGGAATTGGTCCAGGCGCGTTCGGCAGGTCGCACGTGTGCCTTGAGGGAACGGAGTGGCTGGTGTTCCAGGGGGATATACGGGAGTATGAGGCAGTTTGTGAGGTGAGGGGGGGGCAATATTTATTTAATAATATTTAAATATTTACTTAATATCTGTTATTGTTATTGTGGAGTAAACCTGAACTGACTGTTTAAAAACAACGTGATGTGTGTATATTCCACAAGTAATGACTCTCCCATTATCGACAGAGTGTTCACAACGTCCTGGTACCCCACCTGTGGCTTTTTTTCCGTACAATTAACTTTGATGTCCTGTTGTAGATGAGTTGAGTGCAACAAAGTCTGATAACGATAACTCCCTCGTCACTCCATCCACGTTATGGAAGATGTCCCACCAAACATGGCGATAGATCACTCTGGATGTCTAAATACAGTGAAACACCTGTACAGAATACAATGAAGTCATTCTGAATGCAATTGCCATCATTCTTCCACACGTTTCAGTTGCTGGCATCCTTACTGTTGCTTTGCCGTACAGTATTAATGGTCCGCCAGAAGTAAAATCTATTTATACACAGGCAACTCCAGTGGCTTGTGCCTATTGAAAAGATTTTCACTGAGGATATGACTAGCTTCGTAGTACTTGAACGTGAACAAAGCACAGATGAAAGAATCTCCTACCTAATTTAATCTAATCAGTGGCTAGCAAGTGATGACCTATAAACATTTGATGGCTTTTTTGCTAAAATTATTCATTGCAATCCAATACTTTAAGGGTCAATCCAATACCTGACCCCTGACTGTCCAGCGCCTTGGGACGTTCTCCCGACGTGAAAGGTGCTCTATAAATGTAATTTTGTGGTTGTTGTTGTTGCTTCCCTTGGGGTACAGTACAACACCAATCACAGATCACACACTGGGCTTAGTTTAGGGTTGCAGAGCAGGAGGAGATGAAGTTGCTGAGAACTGAGAGTGTACTGAGTGTACCGAGAGTGTATTTGTGCCGGGTTTTGCCCACAAATATACAGTCAATTCACTTTACAGTCTATTCTGTGAAGAGCTTTGAGACTCTAGAGGACTTGAAAAGCACTATATCAAATGCAAGGCTTATTATTGTTATTATTACTCTTTGTATCGCACCAATCCTTAATGTCCGTGTTTTCACCCATATGATATACAGTCGATTCACTTTACAGTATATTCTATGAAGTGCTTTGAGACGTCTCGAAGACGTGCTAAGGCGCTTATATGAAATGCAAGGATTATAAGGATTATTATTAGTGCTAAAAACAGGGTGCTTTTGTACCTTTAGCTAAATAAATGTTAGTATTAATGATTATTATAAAGGAGTGACATTTTATAGCACCTATTACAACACAATACTCCAGAGCGCAATTATTTAGTGACTATTGTTTGCAATCATTGTCATCGCACAAAAATCCATAAGGTGAATGATCAATTAAACTGGAGTTTAGTTAGCCATGACACCGGGAGAAACTCCTTCTCTTTCTAAATAGTGCCATGGGATCTTTCCTGTCCATCTCTAAT